TTACACACCTTTCCAATAACCGTTTCGGGTACTTTTGCGCACGAAATATCTTGGCGCGTCTTTTTTGACATTTATTTGCAGTCGGATCCTCGTTGCAACGAATAGTCCTGCAGCTGGGTTTTCCCATTTATGCTAATAAAATTCCTTCCTATCGAAAACAAGCATGTAAAACGCAGCCGTACGAAAGTTAAAATATCAAGTATATCGACATAGGGGGCATCGAATGTCTCTATTTCTTAGGACACGAGTCTTGCCATAGCTTCCCAGTAAAAGTACATAATTCTAGGCTGTTGGGAAGTTCGCATGGCTGTATTTTCAAGAATTCTGAGATCAGTTACGAAATTCAGAACAAAACATTAAAGACTGAACAAACAGTTGACTGGAAAATCCTACTTAATAAGAAGGCATAGCGTTCAACGAAATTACCTTAGGTAAAGTGAACTCTCATCTACCAGGAAAGATGATTGGGTTTCTGCTAAGTTGCGCGCCCGAACAGTAAAATGCGTTAGCAAATAAGTTCATGAAGCGAAATGAATCAACGAAGTTTACCCGTCACATGTGGACAAGCTTACTAGAAATCCCAAATAAATATTCGGGACAGAACAGATGTTTCGGTATCGGCGTGACGCCCTGATTTAAATGAACCCTGTATCTGACGACAGATGTCGCTAGCAGACCACTATCTGATGATAAGATTGGAGCAAAAAAGACACTGGGGACAAAATGCCATGTCTGGCTGTTAAGCCATCGTCAGCCAGTCATATCAAATCCCAAGTGTGGATAACCCCACATTGTAACCCACAACCATCTGCAAACTGAGTATAGCAGTCTAACATTAAGCTAAATATCAGGTACTTTTTCCTTTACAATTGGAAATATGATGATAGTGTAGGCTCGCCTATCAGACGGGCCGCAACGTGGTTAAATAACCACTAACAGCTGTGAATAGATAAAGACAGACCGATTAAGAGAACAGCTCTCTCGGACTCATTCATGCTTTCGTCTGCCCCGAGTACTTCCTATCAATAGCCACAAACATGCAAGCGTGAGTTAGAATACGGTAGGCGACTTTCAATTTACCTTCAGACAGCTTCTAATAATTACACGTTTCAGTGTGAAAAAAAGTCATACCAATTTTGCGCTGGAGTACTGACATACGAGGTACTAAGTTTGAGTCGGTTTTTCATAACATTTAGGTAGGGTTTCCATAAAGCAAAGAAATTAAAACACTGCATACTAATAAACCTGATGAAAATACCACTGCTGTCAAGCAGTAGGTCCCCCAACCTTCCCAGTCTGCTTTCTGGTTGATATACCGGTTTTGAAAGTTCAGCCTTTCATTTCCTGAGAAACTAATTTCTGTTCGCGGCATACATCAGTATATTTAAGGTCTGTAGGCGTAGACCGAAATTGTTAGTGTATATTTGGATTGAAACCCGTCAGCTACTGCGAAATGTGCACTAGCTGCCATCGGACAGAGTTTAGTAGTATATATTGATGTTGTAACTTATCATAATAGCTAAAAGCGAGCACTTCAGATATTTTTTTTAAAACAGCCAGTTACTCAGGTACGCAAAACATTCAATTTGGTATGAATTAGAGAGACAACGTGAACACGGATCAAAGTATATCACTCTGGTAGACAATCCGGTGATTCAGGTTACCTACAAGTTGAATGCAGGTAGAATGAGGAAAATGACATTGCCTAAATCTGGAAAAATTTCAAATTTATATTGCAATAATACTTTAAGTAGACTGGAGGTCAAATGTCACATAAATTTGAACTTTTCAGCGGTGCTGCATCATTTACTTCAAAACAGTCCTTCTTCCTAACTGGTTTGGGATGACATAACAGCATTTTCTCAAGTCTTATTGAAAACGAATGAAAACAATTTCACTAGAAAGGTAAGGACAGGAAAGCAAGTACGCCTTCCGAGGGGCAGCAGAATATGTTCTTTGTAGGGGTCACTGATGCCTGACGCCTTCCTGAATCTTGACGCCAATCACGAGGTCACTCAGAGCACGGGACCTCGGGCGGAGGCAGCTTTGGGCGTGCCTCGGACCAAAC